AAAAAGTAGAGAGTGCCAACCTTGAGCAAAAAAGCTAAAGGAGAACACCCAAGTTCTGAGGTCAAGCCCCAGTACTGCTTCCCCACAAAAAAAAAAAAAAAAAAATCCAATTTATAAGACGAAGCCCAACTGCATCTATTAAAATACTCCTAACAGGGCTGGGAAAGTAGCTCAGTGGTAGAGCGCTTGCCTTGCATGCCTGAGGCCCTGGGTTCGATTCCTCAGCACCACATAACCCAAAAAGAAAAAAGCCGGAAGTGGTGTTGTAGCTCAAGTGGTAGAGCGCTAGCCTTGAGCTGAAGAGCTGAGGGACAGTGCCCAGGCCCAGAGTTTAGGCCCCATGACCAGACCCAAAAAAAAAAAAAAAAAACCTCATAACAATAAGTCCCATTCATTACTACCCCTGGCGTTTAACCAGATATAATTCATCTCATTTCATACCGTAGAGTCTCTCGAGCAGTATATCCTGAGCCAATTAGTATGGATTCATCGAACAGTTTGTCCATGCAAGGAATAAACTCTAGAAAACAAAACATATTGCATATATCATCTACAAGAGCAATTATACACAAAACTACTTCATAGTACTTTCAAAGCTGCCAGTGTGAACCCTGTTAAGCAAAGAAAATGGACACATAGGAGAGCAGAAAGGGACATGTGCTGTCTCAGACTAAGGCACTGACTCTGCTGGGCTACCGAAACCATTTACCTGCGAAGATGTCATGGGTCATGTTCAGCGTCAGAGAATAAACTAAAAATAAGAAAAATAAGCCAGACACTCGTGGTTCATACCTGTAATCCTAGCAACTTAGGAAACTGACATCTAGAGGATCATGGTTCAAATCCATCCTGGGTAGAAAAGTCTGTGAGACTCCATCAGCAAAAAGCAGGGCTGGATACATAGGTCAACTGGTAGAGTTCCAGCCACAAACAAACAAGTTGAGCAAATATGAGGCCCAGAGTTCAAACACTGGTACCAGCAAAAAAAAAAACCAGCTAAGTGAAGTAAATATCCAATGGATGTTTAGGTTCTGTGGAACAAGCCTGACAATATGGCCAGCCCAGTTTCAGTAAGTCAAGTCACTTGCACCAGCAAAGAGCCATTAAAAATTATATCCTTGAGACACAATATGCATTATTGGTTAATTTCCAAAGCAAGGCAACACCAGAAATGCCAAATGCTACTGGAAAGCAGCAACAAGCAATCTCCTGACATCAGAAGGGGGTAAAGGTGGTTGAGATTCAGGAGACACAGAGGAATGATGAAAGGGACAGATACCCAATGCTGGAAAGCTGACAAAGAGATTAAAACTGCAAATAATGAAACTGAACTGCATAGCCACTGGCTCCCATAGCTTCTACATGATTCCAAAGTAGAAATCTCTACAAAAACAGTGAGATTCTGCTAAGAACACTCAGGATTTCTCAAAGTCATTGAGTTCCTCAGAATTAGTACAAATGGGTTGCCACTTGGTATTGTTTCAGATATCAAAGAAAGAAGGCTAAGAGCTGGGCACTGGTGGCTCACACCTGTAATCCTAGCTTCTCAGGAGGCTGATATCTAAGGATCTCGGTTCAAAGCCAGCCCGGGCAGCCAAGTCCATGAGACTCTTATCTCCAATAAACCACTCAGAAAACTGGAAGTGGTGCTGTGGCTTAAGTGGTAGAGCACTAGCCTTGAGCTGAAGAGCTGAGGGACAGCGTTCAGGCCCAGAGTTCAAGCCCCACAACCGACGACGACGACAACAACAACAACAACTCAGGGACAGTGAGCCTAGGCCCTGAGTTCAAGCCCCACATTTAAAAAAAAAAAAAAAAGAGGAAGACTAAAAGAAAATGATGAAACTCATGTGTGATGGTAACTAATGGCATGAGTCTTTTTACTATTATTTCTCCCAATTATCCTTTCTGAGATGCAATGCTTTTACCAACTCAAATCCAGGGACTACTTACTACAAAGGTCAAAACCAAGTTTGCTTTAAAAAAAAAACCACACACACACACACACACAAAAACTCAATGATTAGAGACCATTCCAAAAGAGTACTCTAAAAGCTGAACTCAATAGGGGTCTAAGAAGATCAGAGCCTGGACAAGAGCAGCCTGGATCAACCCAGGTGAGCAAGTGTTGACAATGACTTAACATCACACTTTATGGCCAAAAAGAGCCCGATTGTGCAGTTCTAATCAGGGATCTACTTGGGAACCCTGACAACCACACAGCCACACGTGGACACCTCATACTACCCAGCTGCTCAGACAAAATCGCAAACCTCACTACACTACACTTGTGACAGGGACACTGGGAAGGCAATGTGACAGTGGCAACAGAGACACAGGTCACATCTCAGTACAGTAAGCTGCCATATTCACTCATTACACTTGCTTTTGACCAAGTGCAGCTACCTTATAAATTAAATTTTTTTTTCCAAATTGCACTATTAGCCAGGCACTGGTGACTCACGCGTATAATCCTAGTTGGTTAGGAGGATGAGATATGAGGATTGCAGTTTGAAGCCAGCCCGGGCAAGAATGAGACTCTCTTACTTCCACTAAACTACCAAAAAAGCCAGAAGTGGCTCAAGAGGCAGAATGCCTGCCTTGAGCAGAGAGTTCAAGGCCACTGGCCAGGCCCTGAGTTCAAGTTCAAGGACTAACACACAAACAAAAAAATACTGCAATGACAAATATTTCAAATTACTGCATGTTCATCACTTGATCTGAGAAGCTCCATCAGTCCCATGTTATCACCAATTGGGTTATATTGCTTCCCAAAAAGCAAATGATGCCCTAAAGCAAGGTAAAAATGTGGTACTCCTTTACCAAGCCAATAAGGGCTGTAATGTGCTCTGATTTAAATGATAAAGCAACTGTCATATATTTGTTGAGGGGCAACATGCCTTTAGCAGAAGTTGGATGGTGCTATGGGAAGAATAAATCAAGTACCTGTAGCATAGCTCTGAACACACTGCATCAGAGCATCTGTGGATTTTCTCTGAGGCAGTCTCCTTAGAACCAGAGATCCACACATACCAAGGGTCAACTATAAACAGGATTTGGTATGTTTCTCAAAGCTCTTTTTTTGTTGGTTGTGGGACCTGAACTCTGGGCCTGGGCACTGTCCCTCAGCTCTTCAGCTCAAGGCTGGTGCTCTACCACTTGAGCCACAGCACCATTTCTGGCTTTTTCTGCTTATGTGGTGCTGAGGAATCAAACCCAGGGCCTCATGCATGCAAGGCAAGCACACCACCACAGAATCACTTTCCCAGCCCCTTAAAGCTCTTCTTTTCTGTATTGTTCAGAGTTGAAAATGGAGGAAAGGCCATACATTGCAAAGGAAGCATCCCAGCCAAGTGGCAATGGCAGCTAGGCAGCTCTGGAGGCAAGCAGAGGCCCAGGCAGTGTATGATCTCCAAATGTGGCTAAATAACTAATAATTTGCTTTTGAATCCATATGGGAAAGCAGACTGCAACCTTTACTTTCATGTTTAAAAACTGTAAGGAAGCCCACACTCAGTTTTACTCACTCTCTGGTTTACAAGCTCATGATAAATAAAACAACTGTTCTGAATGACTTAACGTCTCTAAATCATTAGGATTTAACTTTAATCTAAAATTTGGACATATCACATAAGCAAAGTATTAATAACTATCCACCAATATTCACAGAAAAAGTATAAGATCAGTAAAAATCAATCTGGTGAATTATCAGATTAGAAAAAAATCAGCCTTATGCATAGAAATAATCATTGTCACAGCAATGAACAGTGGAACCATACTTTGTTCTTCTTTTAAAGACTGCTAACTATAATTGAGCAATAGCTACTTGCAATTCCAAAAAATTTAGAAAGGCAGCAAAGTATCAGTCAAGATATTCATAACTTAAGCTAAGGAAATAAACAGCACATTGAGGATTTTGTAAAGATAAAAGGAGACCCCTTATGCCGCGAAGAGACTGGGAGTATAGGCAGGCAATCAGAGATGATGCAAGAAGAAAAAAAGAATATACATTCACGAAAGCAACTAAATAAAAAGTACATGTGGAGATGCAGCAGCATAACCATGGACTGCCACGGAGCCCCACCCCCACCGCCAAGAAGCCAACAGGCTCAGACAAGCATTCGAAGGAAAGACAGCCATACGGTTTCTTAGTTCGGTGGTAAGGATGTGTTTTGCAGCAATCAAAAGTTCTTTTCTGAGATGTGCAGTCTCTGCTGGACAATTTGAAAGCAACTGTAACATTCCTTTTACCATCTGCTGCGAGTACTTGGTTACCAGCTCCTGTAAGAGGGAAACAACAATAACGTTGCCAGGATGGTGAAGAAAATTCCAAACTGCCAGGTGCTGGCGACTAATATGTGTGCTGTTTAAACCTCCCATTTTATGGGATTTTACTAAGGTAGATGATGTAGTAAGACAACAGCCTACACTAAAGGAATTCTACCCTTGCCAAGCACTGGTGGCTCAAGCCTATAATCCTAGCTACTCACAAGGCTGAGATCTGAGAATCACAGCTGGAAGAGAGCCCTAACAGAAAAGTTCCAATGAGACTCTTTTCTCCAATTAACCACTCAAAAACCACAAGTGGAGCTGGTACTCAAAGTGGTAGAACATTAGCATTGAGTAAAAGAGCTCAGGGAGAGTTCCCAGGCCCTGAGTTCAAGCCTAACAACCAACATTATTTAAAAAAAAAAAAAAGAATTCCACCCTTGATGAAATAACAAGGACAGCTTTCAGCATTATTGCTAAGTGAAAGTAGTCACTCAACAAGTTGTATTCACTATGCAATGGATGAGCTGATCTCTGTGACAATGAAGAGGGCAAAACGTTGGAGGCAGAAAACACCACCATGTGCAGGGATTAGCAACAAAATGAAGAAATACCATGGTGACAGGAATGTTCTATATTTTGACATGCTGGATTTATCACAGTTAGCAACTGTCAACTCAAAGCATACACTCACAAATGGTGACTTTTACTGCATAAAAAGTCAGCAAACTCACCTGGTAAATTCTGATGATATATGCCAAAAATGACAATGTTTTAATCTGAGCAGCAATGAAGTCAGCATACAACTCCTTGTTGTAAAGCTTATGTTGCCTGAGAGGGAATAAAATTGAATAAAATTTACAGTATTAGCCCTCACTCTTTAGGTGCCATTAATTAAATGCCTGTAACAGCAGGACCAAGTTCATTTCTATCCAGACTAGAACACAGAAGCAATAGGAATACATCTCTACTTCTTTGCACTTCCAAATAATACAAAGGGCTTAAAGACCCTAAAGCAAGCAGTGTGCCAAACCACTTCACAGTAGCCACAATGCAAGTGGCACAAAGCCAACACAACACAGATGTGGGGAATGTGCGCATGTCCACCCAATACAAGTCCAGGGCTGGGGGTCACATCAGACCCTGCCTCAACTGCCTCAGCCAGAGAGACCACAAGTCAAAACAGTAAGCCATAAAGGTCTGAGGAAGAAAGCTATGAAATTGGAGAAAAGACTCAAAAGAATGAGTGTGGTATTAGCCTGTATGGCGTTTGGTGAGGTGTCCCTAAGAAGTTAAAGAACTCTCTAGTGGTCAACAGAAACATCGAGAACAAAGGCTTGAAAGTGAGAAAGGCACAGACATCCCACAAGTCTCAGTAATGTTCAATGACACTTTTTTTTCTTTTTCCCAGGGTGCGGTGGAGGGGGAGGTCAGTTGTGGGGCTTGAACTCTGGGCTTGGGCACTGTCCCTGCACTCTTCAGCTCAAGGTGAGCACTCTACCTCTTCAGCTGCAGCACTACTTCCGGTTTTCTAGTGGTTTATTGGAGATAAGAGTCTCACAGACTTTGCTACCCTGGCTGACTTGGAACCAGGATCCTCAGATCTCAGCCTCCTGAGTAGCTAGGATTACAGGCCCGAGCCACTGGTGGTGCCTGGCTAAATTAACACTTCTAAACTTACAAGATAACAGAAACTGGGGCTAGGAAAGTGGCTCCGAGGTAGAGTGCCTGCCTTGCATGCATGAGGCCCTGGGTTCAATTCCTCAGTACCACATAAGCAGAAAAAGCCAGAAATGGTGCTGTGGCTCAAGTGGTAGAGCACCAGCCTTGAGCTGAAAAGCTGAGGGACAGTGCCCAAGCCCAGAGTTCAGGCCCCATGACTGACCAAAAAAAAAAGCTGGGTGCCTATAATCCTAGCTAATGAAGAGGCTGAGATATGAGGACCATAATTCAAAGCCAGCCCGGACAGAAAAGTCCATGAGACTCTCGTCTCCAATTAACCACTAGAAAACTGGAAGTGGTGTTGTGGCTCAAGCAGTAGAGCACTCATCTTCAACTGAAGAGCACAGGGACAGCACCCAAGCCCAGAGATCAAGCCCCACAACCGACAAAAAAAAAAAAAAAGACAACAGAAACCAAAGTATTGTAACATCTTTTCAAAATAAGGGACTAAAATAACTATAATCATTACCACTAAAATGTAAGTTAAAAAAACTTTACCAAATTAAACTTTACCAATTAAACTTTACCAAAAAAAAAATTTTTTTTTGCCAGTCCTGGGGCTTGAAATCCGGGTCTGGGTGCTGTCCCTGAGCTTCTTTTCCTCAAGGCTAGCACTCTACCACAGTGCCACTTCCAGACTTTTCTGAGTAATCTATTGGAGGTAAGCGTCTCATGGACTTTACTGCCCAGGCTGGCTTTCAACTATAATCCTCAGATCTTAGCCTCCTGTGTAGCTTGAGCCATTGGTACCTGGTTTTACCAAATTTTAACTTGTAATTTTCATCAGTTTACAATGACAGCAGTGAGCATTACTTTTCAGCACAGCTCTGTGGCAGGCAGCTACATGACAACTGGAAGAAGTCTCACCTGGCTTGTGCAGAAACCTGAATGGCAATGGTATTCATGATCAAGGGCACAAATTCAGCGACAACGTTGTGGATGTTCAGCTTGTAGAGCTTAAAAAAAAAAGATACCACATTTTTATATTTTTACATTCCACTACAGCAAAATTAGATGGCACATCAAGAAAACTGTGGGATCTACTAGAGTATGGGGGGTAATTTTTGTTCTTGTTTTGTCTTTTTGTTTGTACGGGGATTTATGCAGGGCCTTGTACTTGCTCAACTTGCTTGTTGGGCTGGTGCTCTACCACTTGGGCCACATCTCCAGCCAGGATTTCTGTTGGTAATTTTAAGAGTTTCATGTACTTGTCTACCTGGGCTGGTTTCATGTCAACCTCATCAATTTACAGGTGTGGGCCACCAAAACCTGGCTTAGTTTGTATTTTTCATATACATTTTTGGCTACAGAAAAACAGATGAGAACATTCGTACAGAGAAGCCAAAAAAAAAAAAGGAAACAAAATTAAAAAGCAAGCTGGGCGCCGGTGGCTCATACCTATAATACTAACTGCTCAGGAGGCTGACATCTGAGGATCGCGGTTCAAAGCCAGCCCGGGCAGGAAACTCTGTGAGACTCTTATCTCCAATAAACCACCAGAAAACTAGAAGTGGTGCTTTGGCTCAAGTGGTAGAGCGCTCGCCTTGAGCTGAAGAGCGCAGGGACATCGCCCATGCCCAGAGTTCAAGCCCATGACTGACCAAAAAAAAAAAAAATTTAAAAAGCAATACACTTACCTGATACATTAAAACAACAATAATGGGCAATTCTGCCAACACTTTGAGAGAAAGTGATCCTCTTGGAATGATGGAGTGCTGTAAGATGCAAAGAAGAATGTGGTTATCACTGTGGCACCAACAAGAGCCCAGCCAGTTCCCACTGCTAAGCATCACTACAGTGAAGCAAGAAAACACACTCAAATTTTTACAAATAACTGAGATGAAAATTCTAAGCACACAGAACTATTATTTAATGTGAAGGATTTTATGTTTTCTAATGTAATTACACTGGGAAAAAACAAAAAACAGGAAAATCCACCCAAAGAGAAAGAAATTTTTTTTGTTGTTGGTCATAGGTCTTGAACTCTGGGCCTGGGCGCTGTCCCTCAGCTCTTCAGCTCAAGGCTAGCGCTCTACCACTTGAGCCACAGCACCACTTCCAGCTTTTTCTGTTTATGTGGTGCCGAGGAATCAAACCCAGGGCCTCATGCATATGAGGCAAACACTCTACCACTAAGCCACCGTCCCAGCCCGAGAAAAATAATTATGATAATATTAGTTCACTTAAAATATTTGCCAGGCACTTGTGGCTCATGCCTATTCAGGAGGCTGAGATCTGAGAATCATAGTTTGAAGCCAACCCAGGCAGCAAAGTCCATGAGACTCTTATCGCCAATAAACTACTTAAGAGAAATCCAGAGTGGCACTGTGGGTCAAGTGGTAGAGTGCTAAGCAATTGAGCACAAAGAGGCTCAGGAACAGCACCCAGGCCCCGAGTTCAAGCCCCAGGAAAAAGAAAAAGAAAATAATATTAATAAAAAAATAAAAATTACCTGTTTTACTCAGATATTTGTAAAGTTATTTTCTATATATAAGAACAAAAATGAAAGGCCTCTCAAAACAAAAAAGGAGATGGGAGGGAAAAACGAGAGAGTAAGAGAAGGGGTGACACTGTCCAAAAAAAATGTACCCTTTTCCTGACTTACATAACTGTAACTACTCTGTATACCACCTTTTTTTTTTTTGGCTGTGGGGCTTCAACTCTGAGCCTGGGCACTGTCCCTCAGCTCTTCAGCTCAAGGCTAGCACTCTACCACTTGAGCCACAGCACCACTTCCACCTTTTTCTGCTTATGTGGGGCTGAGGAATCGAACCCAGGGCCTCATGCATGCGAGGCAAGCACTCTACCATTGAGCCACCTACCCAACACTGTACACCACACACCACATATAACTGAAAATATTTAAGAACAAAAAGCAGCAAAAAGGTTATGAACAGATAAGGAAAAATCATTGTGACACAAAAACTTCCTAAGAAAAATGAAGTAGTGAAATTATTACTTAAAACCCAAGTCTAGCCGGGTGCCAGTGGCTCACGCCTATAATCCTACCTACTCAGGAGGCTGAGATCTGAGGTTCGAGGTTCAAAGCCAGCCCAGGCAGGAAAGTCCGTGAAACTCTTATCTCCAATAAACCACCAGAAAAGGGAAGTGGTGCTGTAGCTCAAGCACTAGAGCGCTAGCTTTGAGCTGAAGAGCTGAGGGACAGCGCTCAGGCCCAGAGTTCAAGCCCCACAACCGACAAAAAAAAAAAAACCCAAGTCTCATGTTCATCTTAGTACAAACTGAAAAATTCCACACGATCATTTCAGTAAGACAAGCACAGGCAATGAACTATTCTTAATTCAATGCTATGAATATGCATTATGGCAACAGCTCAACATTGGGGCCAGAGGCATGGCTCAAGAGATAGATCACTTGCTAAGCAAACACAAGGCCCTGAGTTCCATTCCCAGTAATCCCCCACTCAAAAAAGCTCAATATGTGGCAGACACTACATAAACAATACAACATATTATCTCTAAACAGTGTTACCTACACAAAATCTCACAAGCCAGGTTTTCAAGACAGTAAGAGAAAGAAATAAGGTCAGAAGGATCCCCAATGTCAGAAAAGCCAAGAAGTAGGGCTAGGACACTGTTCTGGAATTGTCCTGGGGCCCAATGCTCAAACAACAACTTTATAACTTCAAGGACTTCACTAACATCCCAAGACACACTGATCTTTGTATCCTGGTCTCCCTCAGATCCAATGGTTCATTTTCACCACTTCTGCCTGAATGAGGCTCTGACCAGATATAGATTTATTTTCACATCTATTTCTATTTGTTTTATTTATAATATATCTATTACTTACATTAAATGCCTCCAAATATTAAAAAATACAGAGAGAGAGAAAAAACTTCAGTGGTCTTTAAAAACCTAGTAGCACACTGTATCCTCTGCCAAGTAGAGGAGCCCCAGGAAAGTAGATAAACTGGGTGGGCCGGCTACCAAAACCTACCGTCCGTGTCTCACTATCCTCCCGCTCAGGGTTGACTTTGACAGCAATTGTTGTTATCATACCAACCATTTCTGGAGGTGGCACTGTGTTCTCGGGGATTACTTGAGGGTTCTCAAAATAGCGATTCTACATCAAAACAATCAAAATTGCCACAGTCAAACAAAACATACCTTATAAAAATATAAGCAATATTTAGTAGTAGAAAGCAAAGTGCTTATACTTATTAATACCCTAGAAAAAAATGATATACTTACATATAAAGATCAAAATATAAACCTACTCCCCAAAAAAAGATTTTTTTTTTTTTTTGTCGGTCATGGGGCTTGAACTCTGGGTCTGGGCACTGTCCTTCAGCTCTTCAGCTCAAGGCTAGCGCTCTACCACTTGAGCTACAGCGCCACTTCCAGTTTTCTGGTGGTTTATTGAAGATAGGAGTCTCACAGTCTCTCCTGCCCGGGCTGGCTTTGAACTGCGATCCTCAGATCTCAGCCTCCTGAGTAGCTAGGATTACAGGCGTGAGCCACCAGCGCCCGGCTAAGATTTTTTTTTTTTAATTGGTTGTGGGGCTTAAACTCAACCTGGGCACTGTCCCTCAGCTCTTCAGCTCAAGGACAGCACTCTACCACTTGAGCCACAGCACCACTTCTGGTTTTCTAGTGGTTTATTGGAGATAAGAGTCTCACGGACTTTCCTGCGCTTTGAACCACAATTCTCAGATCTCAGCCTCCTGAGTAGCTAGGATTACAGGTATGAGCCACCAGCACCAGCAACCAAAAAAGATTTTTGAGCTCCATCATTTATATAAAATGCACAAAGTGAAAAATAAGACAAAACCTCAATGGTAACAGCTGCTTTCAAATGAGATTCTGGGTAACTGTTTGCTTCTACTAAAATTTCTACAATAAAAATTTACTGCTTTTATGTTAACAAAAAAAATAGAAGTTTTTAGCCAGCCGCCAGTGGCTCATGCCTGTAATCCTAGCTTCTTAAGAGGCTGAGATCTGAAGACCACAGTTCAAAGCCAGCCTAGGCAAAAAAGTCCGTGAGACTTTTCAATTAACCACCAGAAAACCAGAAGTGGCACTGTGGCTCAAAGTGGTAGAGCTCTAGCCTTGAACAAAAGACCTCAGGGACAGCACCCAGGTCCAGAGTTCAAGCCCTACAACCAATAAAAAATTAATTAATTAACATAAACAAAAAGTTTTTAAGCTAAATAAGGAAATCAAAAGAATTTTTTTTTGTTCAATCCTGGGGCTTGAACTCAGGGCCTGAGTATTGATTGCTAAGCCTCTTCGTGCTCAAGGCTAGCACTCTACCACTTGAGCACAGAACCACTTCCGGCTTTTTCTGAGTAGTTTATTGGAGATAAGAGTCTCACTGCTTTCCTACCCAGGCTGGCTTTGAACTGCAATCCTCAGATCTCAGCCCAAGAGTCTAGGATTATAGGCATGAGCCACTGGTGCCCAGCTAAAAATCAAAAGAATTTTTATCTTTGGATTTCTATTTATCAACCTAGATTTTAGTCATCACTAAACCTTCCCTATTATTAGCAATGTCTTCTCAAATGTTTCTACAAATCCCAGATAATAAATGTTAATATATCCAAACTACAGTAAAAACATACCACTACTTTTGGAAGCTCCTTGTAAATCTGTTTTACAAAATCCAAAAAATGATGAATCTAAAAAGAGAAAAAAACGTATAAGAACACATTTAAAAGCAGAAATTTTTAATTGCCTAAATGTACAAAAACTCATAAAACAGGTGGGGAGATGGCAGAAAAGATAAACAGGCAATGGAAATGAACTGTAAAATAAAAGGAATGAAAAGAGCTACTAAGGGGCTAGGAAGGTGGCTCAGTGGTAGAGCGCTTGCCTTGCATGCCTGAGCCAGGGCTCAGCACCACATAAGCAAAAAGAAAAAAGCCGGAAGTGGCGCTGTGGCTCAAGTGGTAGAGCACCAGCCTTGAGCTGAAAAGCTGAGGGACAGTGCCCAAGCCCAGAGTTCAGGCCCCATGACTGACCAAAAAAAAAAGCTGGGTGCCTATAATCCTAGCTAATGAAGAGGCTGAGATATGAGGACCATAATTCAAAGCCAGCCCGGACAGAAAAGTCCATGAGACTCTCGTCTCCAATTAACCACTAGAAAACTGGAAGTGGTGTTGTGGCTCAAGCAGTAGAGCACTCATCTTCAACTGAAGAGCACAGGGACAGCACCCAAGCCCAGAGATCAAGCCCCACAACCGACAAAAAAAAAAAAAAAGACAACAGAAACCAAAGTATTGTAACATCTTTTCAAAATAAGGGACTAAAATAACTATAATCATTACCACTAAAATGTAAGTTAAAAAAACTTTACCAAATTAAACTTTACCAATTAAACTTTACCAAAAAAAAAATTTTTTTTTGCCAGTCCTGGGGCTTGAAATCCGGGTCTGGGTGCTGTCCCTGAGCTTCTTTTCCTCAAGGCTAGCACTCTACCACAGTGCCACTTCCAGACTTTTCTGAGTAATCTATTGGAGGTAAGCGTCTCATGGACTTTACTGCCCAGGCTGGCTTTCAACTATAATCCTCAGATCTTAGCCTCCTGTGTAGCTTGAGCCATTGGTACCTGGTTTTACCAAATTTTAACTTGTAATTTTCATCAGTTTACAATGACAGCAGTGAGCATTACTTTTCAGCACAGCTCTGTGGCAGGCAGCTACATGACAACTGGAAGAAGTCTCACCTGGCTTGTGCAGAAACCTGAATGGCAATGGTATTCATGATCAAGGGCACAAATTCAGCGACAACGTTGTGGATGTTCAGCTTGTAGAGCTTAAAAAAAAAAGATACCACATTTTTATATTTTTACATTCCACTACAGCAAAATTAGATGGCACATCAAGAAAACTGTGGGATCTACTAGAGTATGGGGGGTAATTTTTGTTCTTGTTTTGTCTTTTTGTTTGTACGGGGATTTATGCAGGGCCTTGTACTTGCTCAACTTGCTTGTTGGGCTGGTGCTCTACCACTTGGGCCACATCTCCAGCCAGGATTTCTGTTGGTAATTTTAAGAGTTTCATGTACTTGTCTACCTGGGCTGGTTTCATGTCAACCTCATCAATTTACAGGTGTGGGCCACCAAAACCTGGCTTAGTTTGTATTTTTCATATACATTTTTGGCTACAGAAAAACAGATGAGAACATTCGTACAGAGAAGCCAAAAAAAAAAA